TGCTCTGGTCACCGTATGCTCTTGGAACACGAACGGAATTATGGATTTGGCATGGATGCTCTGGTCACCGCATGCTCTCGAAACACGAACGTTATTATGGTTTGGGCATGGATGCTCTGGTCACCGCATGCACGGTATGGTTTGGCCATGGACGAAGTCCGATACACATATTGTTTACACCAGGTCACGAGCCATAGAACACCCAAGTAAACCCAAAAATCTTGAAATAGACACTAAAATCTAAAAAATGCTATAAAACGCCACGGCGTTCTATGACCCGTTGACCAACTACATGGTGCGCGGTGTATANNTATGACCCGTTGACCAACTACTATTATTGGGTTTCTTATAGTCCAGGGACACGTAGGGGGTTACCCTCCTCCAGGACTCACCGCTTGGCTGAATTCCTCCCTCTTTGCACGCATGTTCACTCAGACTGGTCTTCTGTAGTTGCTCTGAATAGAAATGTTTTGTTTATGCCACTGATGCTGCACCCTTGCTGCAACATGGTACTGCATCATGACGAACCCTGATTGTTCTGGCAATGATGAGAAGACACTGCACTGTTGCCAGTCAGTCGTATCATCATCCCCACCATTAATATTTTCACACGTGAGAGGTTTTATTGTTGTCTCTGAGATGACTTAAGGCCATTCTGCTGGACATCTCTCCGCTGCGGATGTCGGATCCCTATGGCTATCCATCGCAATCTCACCAATTTTTGCGCTAAATCGGGGGGGGGGGGGGGGGNNGCGCTAGGTTTGCCTGAAATGTACTGAGATTTTTTGCAGAAGAACCCCCCAAGGGACATTCTCCTTGTTGAAGCTTCCCCTTTGTGAATCAGATTGGGGTATGAATGAAATCGCATCACAAGCCAGCTACTGCTACAGTTACAGAGCCGCAGCAGGCGTTGCCTCAGATTTGCGGAGAACTGCAGTGAAATCCGCGCAAGGCTGGGGAGTGTTTTTGTGGACGTTAAACAGTTTCAACTTTTCAACGTACCCTTCTGCTTAGCAGTTTGCCAAAGAAGTGTGCTCTCATGTCGCAGCCAATGCCAACATGAACACGAAACAAAGCATCCACCTGCACTGCAAGGTACGACGAAGGCAGCATCACAGAGCCCCTGGTAGCGTTTGAGCTGCAGGCCCGCCAAAATTGGCACCGGCGTGACGCGAGTCTGCATTCTCCGCCTCTAGCAAGTGATGCGCAGGCAGTGTGGCCACAACGCGAGACGAAACGTCGGCGGGTCTTCTGAGTGGAGCGCGAACAAGCTCAACACGGCCCCTGCTCTCGAAAAGGTCTCCAGGCATTCTTCTCATTCCACTTTATTAAAATAGGGTTTGTATAGGGGTTATATAGGGATAATGGAAAAGAAAGTGAAAACTATCTTCAGGCTGCAAGCTGTTTTTGAAGGGCAGTCCCTAGATGGTGCTGCATTAGCCATCTTGGAACTACGAGCTTGCCTAGGCGTTGCTCAAGCCTGCAAACATAGATAACTGGATATTGAAGCATATAAATGAGATGCCTCGCCCAGTCTAAAGACCAAAGCAGCAAAATGCATAGATTTACAGATTTCAGAGGCTCTCCATGTTAGGCTAAACATTGCACCGGGTTGAATGAAGACACCTTGTTCAATGTGTTTTGGCCGCCGCTTATTCAGTTTCAGGCCATTGTTGGCAAGACCCTGTTTAATGTGTTTCGTTGTTGGGGCCCTAAAAATAATGAGGTAAGCTGCAAGTTTGGGGCCCCAAGCAAAGATTTTTGAACGGCGGCCCTTCCAAAAGCCTTTGCCCTCAGAGCTTTAGATCGAGAATCCAAATACCAATTCCTTAGCCTGAAGCCGACCAGTATCATTTAAAATCCTTGTTCGAAATCTTAAACATATTGGCCCAAATCGTTTGGGCAAAGGGGGTAGTCCAGCATAGTCCAGCAGACCCTTGGACCTTGAATGAATTCCATTGTTTGAGACCTTTAATATGTCATACTTGGGCCCCTGCAAGCTTTGGCAGCCAGACCATCCCTTTTGAAATTGATCCCCAGAGCCCTCAGAACCGCGGGAGGTTTTGAGGAGCCCTTCTTCAAGACACCTGATTTCTAATTTTCGGGGAGACAGGGGGCAAGGGAGGGTTCCCGGAGCTTCAGCCCAGTGAGTGCCACATTAGGGGTGGAAGTCGCGGCCAACGCGGGAGACTAACTGCCATGTTTTGATCAGTGTTATGCCTCACAGGCAGGGTGCCGGTAAGAAGGCACTCTTGATTAGCTGTTCTGTATTGTGTGCTTGCTGGCAAAGACGAACTCAGACCGTGAATAGCGACGTAAGCTGTATTTGAATCTGCGAGAAGCAGTGCCGGAGCATTTCGTGGTCTCATGGCCCTCCATTGGCAAGCGGTACGGCTTTTGGAAGGTCAGAGAACTTTCCCAGCGAATGAGCTGAGTTGCATGCTGTAGAGCTAGTAATCAGTGCCTTCTATCTGCTCTTGCTGCCTTCCTGCGAACTTCTTTACAGATGCCATGCAGACGCGTTTCTCTTCAGCGCATACTGGTGTTGGGTTCACTCTGAGCACTCTGAGTGTCATTTGACGCACTGCAGATTCTTTACCGCAAGCATTGCACAGTGCTCCGGTCTGTGATTCCCTCAGCTTTGGCTGAAAGATAGCTCGAGAAGACTACAGCCTAAGAAGCTTCACCCTCAGTGCTCTGCCACAACCATCAGCAGGCAGGGCAAGCCTACACCATCACGTGGACTCGCACGCAGCTTCGTCAGCTGGTAAGCCCCCACTCCAGCAAGCCACTCAACCGAAGAAACTATCATACCGATACCCTCTTGGCTGTCATGGCCTCCCAGCCACCGTTCATGATGCAAAGGTGGTTGGATGCTCAGGCTGTTTGGAGACTATCGCTTGCTCTGAGTACATGCTCCTTTGTCAAAATGCCGCTTGCAACATTTAATCAGGACGTTAATTGAAGTATCTGCTAGGAGTTGATTCGCCGAGGTGACGAGCCCAGTCGCATCATGGCAGAGCTTCCCACAGTTGAGGAAGGTGGGTGCCTCACAGCTGGCAGTCAGCTGCACTGGAGAACCATGGGATACATGATATGTCTACATGTCAACATAGCAGGGAGTGCTCAGCGCGGCAGCTCGCCTCCGACAATCATGACCCACCCAGCAGTATTCATTGCAGCTTGTTTCAGCTCAAGGACAAGATACACAACAACTTGGGAATTCCTACAGCCAAAATCTGCTGATTTGATTCGCAACATGTGCTCGTCAGCCATGCAGTTTTGATGTGACAAGCAACACAGCACAGTCCCAGCCGGCCTTCGCTTGCTTTTCTGAGCGCATGGCATGTGATGGCATGCATGGGTCAACGTCTCCGCATTCGGCCAGTGACGGTGCTGGACCGTTTGAGAGCCACAAGGCTAGAAGCTTCCGGACCGCTCAACTGGCACGTCAATCCAGTAAGTCCCTCCCTACTTCCTGTGCATGCCTGAGACCTCAGAAGAGCGTTTGCTGACCTTACATCCTGGCAACCTAAACCCTTAATTTAAAGTTCCTAGATTCTAGATGGCAGTTTCCCAGAACAGGCGGACCCAAATATAGACCCCAAATACTACAGTCCTTATCATTGGGACCCCCAAAATGGTACCCCTATTTTGGGAAACCCCCTGGTGCTCTGGTTGCAGGCATGTGCGCGGAAGGCCTTCCCACGGTGTGGCTTCATTGATGGGATCGAGTGCCGCGGCATCAGCCGAGAGCAGCTGCAGAGGCAGCGCGTCAGTGCTTTTTCTTACTGTCAGTACCATTAGACCATGTTTACCATCGTAATTAGTTTGTTACTATTATTCTTAATAGTAAATAGTATCATTATTGCTATTGTTCCTGTTAAAGCATTTATCATCATTATCATTTATTACTTTCATGTTTATTGCTTCTATAACTACTATCGTTGATGTTGATGCTACTTGTGAATGTAACCCTTGTAGCTTACACTATCGCTGTTGCCAAATGCAAATGGTTGCTACTTCTATAATCCCTTACCCCTAATATGAAACCCCCACCCCCCTAATGTTAAATACTCCGAACATATCATAATATGATATACCACAATGGGGAGTATTTAGTATTGGGTGGGGTGGGGGGGTTTAATAGGAGGGGGAGGGGATTACAAGTGCTGCCATGTCACTGTGCGACATTACGATTTTGGGTCCAGGTTTGCAGCCTTTGCCGCAGCCAACTGCAACCTGTGGCCTGTGAATGACCAGCCAAAGCTGGGCATCAGCACGATGAGCCTAAGCTGTTGCCAGCAAATGTTTGATTCGTTGTCTCATTTCCTGCTGACTGGAAGCCTGGATGCGCAAACATCCAAGGAGCTTCAATCATTTGAACGAGTTCTTGATATTGCCAACTACAGAGGACAACCTGCGCAACATTCAGGTTGTAACGTGCCTCATAGCAAAGCTGAGAATCCAGGATCAGGATTGCTCTGCTGTTGAGCTTGTAGCCGAGAAGCCGCAGAGCTCTGTCCTCTTCATAAGTTCACGGCTCAGCCGCTGCATGCAACATGATAAATTCACGTTCTCCCACTGCTGGGATCCAGGTCACCGGTGGGGTGATCTCCTGGTGGATTTCCTGGATTGTCTGACTTCTTATTACCGTGCAAAAGAGCTCAGAGAGGACCCAAGCCTCCTGCGAATTCGCTGCCATTCCCCACATTGCTTGGGCGCAATTTTTCAACAATGGTGAAGGATTCGTTCATGTGGATGTGTGTCTTCGCCGAAAGGCAACGGGCAGCTGTAGAGCTGATGCAGATGCGCAGAACAGAATGGATTCTAGACTCTGACTCTGGGAAGGCAGCATTCTTTGCAGCGACACCTTGCTGTTGAGCCTAGCTTCTTGATGCAAATCGGTTCATCAGTGCATCATAGCTACCGGCTCGGGTTTTGAGGTTGACCATGGGTTGCACTGTAAACCTGCCGTTGCTTTCGTCAACGTGCTGCTTATGACCCTCAACGCTTGAAGCAAATCCAGGCTTCATCAGGGCTTTGACTCGAGCGGAGCACGTCCTGCAGATGCTTGGGCGGGGAAGCGATTCTCGGCAGAAGCGTTTACCCGAGTACTGTAGAAGTGGTACCTAACCACGCATGCAAGTCTTCTGATCACAACATGTGATCTTGAGCAATGATTATGGTACTTGCAAGCGAAACCGTTTCCTACAGCCAGATTGGTTCTGTAAAGCAACCTGATAATTCGAGATGAGCGATCGCAGTACAGTCTTATTGGCAAAGGCAGTGAATGGCTTTACTCTGCTAGCCTCAACGCCGTCGAAGCTGCTCAGGAATATGATCCTCAGTCGGGCTTTGGGCCCTTCTTCTCGAGGGCCTGGTGCCTTTTGGAGGCAGGAACCCCAAAGTAGCAGTCTACTCACAAGCAGCATTGTTCCCAAGACGTCATCTGTTATAGTTTCCAGGTTAGCAAGGCGATGGAGCTGAAAAAGGTTGTTGACTACGCCGTCGTGATGGCAGATGGACCGCAAATACTCGTGGAGAGCATCCTGGACCAGGCTCGGTCAAAGACAAACTGCCGCAACTCGTTGATTCAAATGGGCGCGCGCAAATCTACTCCAGCGTCAAGAAAGGCGGTTTCTGGTCGATTGGGAATTTTAAGAACTCAGTTAGTTCAGGGGGTACGCTGTCTTTTTACACAGGAATGGAGCATGAAATGGAATCTGGGATTATGTATACAGGGGGACTCAATCCTCCAATGCTCCCAAGCAAGCCACCCATGGGCCGCAGGTGGGCCAAATGGAAAAAAAGACACCGCGATCGACAGCCAGATGTACGCGGCTGCGAGAGTCTACATTTCCGATTGAGGCAACGGCCTACAGTGGCTTAGGGGCACTGCAAGCTTCTTCTGACAGCAGCTTAGACTTGAAAGGCACAGCATGTCACCTTGCAGGTCAAACCAAACAAAACTCGGAATAAGACCATGACTTTCCCAAGCAGCTCGCCCTGTTCAGGACAGTCCCGCTCAGCCTGGGGATGTGCTACAGACATACTAGGTCATACTAATGTAGCAAGCTAGTTGAAGCAAACTTTGGGGCTGAGACCACCGGGCTCAGGCCTCAACCAGCACATACTCTCCACTCATTTTTGCTGCGCGTCTTCTGTACGTTTTCTCGACTCCGGTCGAAGGTGTTGGTGACCGGCCTTCAGCTTGACATCCAGGCAGCACACACCGCCGCCGAGGCACGTTCTGTATGGTGTAGAGGATGGGTTTGGGTTTCGGGGTTTCATGGAGACGAGAAGTGTCCTTGTGTCGTCACTACCATCTCATTAATGGTCCCCTGGTGGCTCGTGGGTGGTGGAGCCTTTGGCCGAAGAGCGCGATGGCAGATGGATAATATCCCAATAATGGAGAATCAAACGGACATGGAAAATGGACCATGAAATGGCAACTGGGATTATAATGGGTTTTATGGGGGTTATATAGGGATAACTGTAATATTCTCATAGAGTGGGGGCCACTACGCTCAGTTGCAAACTTTACCTACTGTACCGAGTGCAGCTGTTCCATCTGTTCTCTCATCAGACCTCTGCTGGATGCTGTGTTCTTGTGCGGAGGCAGACCATGACAGAATCCTGAAGTATATTGCAGGCCGGGGTGTTAGAATCAGGATGCCATGGCTCTCACTTAGCTTTGCTTGCAGCAGGCTCCCTGTGCACATCAAAACCTGTGTGCTTTGACAGGCTTGCGACCTGATCATGTCTTGGAGCCAGGCGACATGAGACCATTTCAGGTGCGTCTTTTCTGCTCATTGCCTGGGAGTCTTGTGACCGTTGGCCTGGCCACTAGCCTGGTTTCTACTCCGAACGAGCACACAGCGCGCACATCCCACAAGGAAGTCTGGCCGCACATGTCGACGTTGTCAACAATGAAATTCTCCCGGCCGCCGCTGCCCCCGCTGCCGGCGATGACGAGTGGCCGACCATCAAGCAGATTACGATTCGGCCGACATCGCTGAAGACGACGATGGACGATGACGGCAGCGAAGACCCTTCCCCAAACCTCCAAGCGACAAAAGCAATGCAACGGACTACAGCACTAGCAGCAGCCAGCAGCAGCAACAGCAGCAGCAGCAGCAGCAGCAAAACGTGATCATCAACTTTTGCACCTTTGGTCTACCCAGCTACTCAGAAGTATCTCAGAGTCTAAAGTGTGTACTGCGGTCCAATCTCAGAGTTGATACCCTGGACTTCGTCAGGAGGACCTCCGCAAGTTCAATGCCAGACTACGCGCGGAGCTGGCTTTGGCCTCATGGTTTCAGGCGCTGCACTGCCCGCTTCTGCATGCAGGGACTCTGCACTGGACGGTTGCCGGCAGCTCTTCAGGGCGACCCGTTTCTCATACAGGGGGTCTTTGTTTCTCCTCATATACGAAGCCTGTGGCAATGCCACCGCAACCTCTTTGCATGCACCTTCAGAACTTAAGCTTGAGCGATGTGGTAGATAAGTCACGTAGTGGCCCAGCCTGGATGAGTTATTGTACTTTAGCTGATGCCGAGCCGTTTCCATCGTTCCATGTGCGCCAGAGTCTGAAACGGAAAGTGCCAAATGTTGTCTTGGAAGGCCGTCCAGAGTCAGACGGACGCCAAGCGCTTGGCACGTGCTTTGATCGGAGACGAGACCCGCACATCGCTTATGAAGAACTTTGCTTACAGCTCACGGCCACTCAGCTTGTTTGGATTCCTGGCCCTGCCTCAGGGGCAGGAGAGTCAGAGTGAGGTAACTGCTTCATGCGTAACCCCTGCAACAAAACGGTTTCCACATGTCATGTTCGTGTTGCTTTTCCATTTGATTCTCTACTGTTCTACTTTTTTGGGATATTGTGGGGGGAACTGCCCTGGCCATGTCAAGGTTCGATGATCGCCAGCTGGCTATTCTGGCAGCAGCGCTGCCCAGTCACCTCCGGCACCTAGAGCTTTCCTTTTGGAGACTTTGCTCCACTGGTTGCCCAAAAAATTGCTAAGGGCTGCTTGCATTATCTTTCCAACTTATTGGTAATCGGGGAATACAAGCTCTATATCATCCCTGTGAAATATGTTCCCTTATTCCCCATGGTAGCCCCAATATACATCCTATCAAAATGTAGTAGTTTCCCACTTTCTTTTCCACTATCCTCGATAATCACTATATAAAACCAAAATTAGCTTTTTCCCGTATTCCCTACTATAACCCCAATGAATCCACTTCGGCATCTTCTTTTCTGTTGTCTGGTCTCAGGATGTGCAGCGAAATTGGGTCTCCTGGCCTGAGAGCTTTCTGCAAAACGCTTCCGCAGCTGAAGCAACTGGGCTGCTGATAAGGGGCTGAATTTAAGCTACATTTTCCCCCCTATAACGGAGAATCAAATGGAAAAGAGCATGGAACATGAAGTGGAAACTGAGGGAATAATGAACTTGATTTAAGTTCCTATATTGGGGAAACCATATTAATTACTATATATACCCATTATGGTTACTTAAGTTAAGTTCCTTAACAGCAACCCAGGCAACTGGAGACACTGACGCTGGACTTTCAGATGTGTTCGCGGATTGGACAGACAGGCTGCATCTCCATTTTCCGTCGAAGCAGTAGAGATAAACGGCCACTACTGTCTGGGAGTTGCTTATGGTTGCTTATGGCTGCTTGCAGGCATCGATGCTCTTGGCCTGTGCCTGCCAGCTACGATCGTGAGCTTGAGCCTGACACTAGGTTGCATTTTTATACTTGAATGCTTACACTGCAGCACACGCAAAGCACATGAAGCGACTGGCCTCTGCCGGTATTCTTGATGCTGGCAATGTGTCCGGAAAGGAATTTTGAGCGCACGCACATCCGCAGCGTCCTGGCCTTGTCCAAGGGCATTGCCAGCCTGAAAAACCTGAGGGTGCTGGGCCTTGACTTTGGAGGCAAGAAGCGAGACCAAAAATCTGCACCAATCAGGAACCCAGTAGAGGAGGATTGAAGTTGCAAGTTAAATGGCGCTCAGAAGGGATAAAGGGGTGGCAAGCAGCGCCTTGGGACGCAGCAAGACATCCCGGCAAGACACGCAAACAACCCACATGCATGCTCCCTGGAGGCATTGACAACATCGACGACCGGCAAGTCAGTGGGATTTCTGAATGTCTGCCGCCGCGGCTGATCAACTTACATCTTGCTCTGAGGCTGGACGTTGTTGTGACAGCTGGACTAAGCCATCATCTCAGCTCCTTACGATCCCTCCAACCTGCAGGGGATGTCCTTATTTCACGACGCTTGGAGTTCACTCTTTGGCAGCGGCCCAAGTTCTGCATAGGAAGCCCGAAAAGCAGGAAGGCTGCAACCTGAAACACAGCTCGTGACTTGAGCCGGGACCACCGCGGCGGCAAGGAAGGCTGACGTGATAGCCTGTCTAAGGGCGGACTCTGTGTGTAAAGGAAGCTTCTGTCCGGGTCTGCAAGCCGCAGCAGCATCGCCTAATACTTCTTCATGTGGGTGACGGTGTAGTAAGGAGTATGCGGCAGCCGTGTGGACCTTTTGCTCAAAATTGTTTGAAAGCCAGGTACAAGTTTTCTTGAAGCTTGTTTGCGGCTAGATCAGGGCTACCTCTGACTGCCGAGGTCTTGGGACTGCCGCCTGACATGTCCATGTTATCCCTCAACTTCAGCAGCTGCTTCTCGCTTGCATCCGTGATTTCTCTGAGAAGTCTTTGCGTAGTCTAGCTTCGCAGGCAGTAGCGCTCGCAAGGTGACCGCATCAACAATGATGCAGTGAAGTGGCTGGCTCACAAGCTGCCACGCATGCTCAAGGCAACGAACACACAACCAACACGCCCAAAGCATGCTTCGTGCGTACTTTGGACTCAGCTGGCAGGTCCTGCGCGTGGACCTCTCCGATACACAGGTTGATGACGCTGCCGCTATGCTGCTGATGCAGCGGCTGCCTTCGGCACTCCAAGGTCGGCCCTGGCATTTAGCTTGGATTCGGATGTTCTGCTTCGGAGACCTCAGACTCAGGAGCCAAAATCAGCCTCGGGAACACCAGAGTGTCTCCTTCCATCCAAAGGCCACTGGGCTGGCTTGCAATTGAGTGTGCTCAGTTCCTCTTAGCTGCTTGATGCAGCGGGTTCGTTTCAAGCAGCACTGAACAAAGCCCTGGCAGGGCCTGCCGCAAGCTGGAAACCATTCGCAGCCTGTTGGTGGATGGGGCTCTGCGTTCTCAGCCTGCGGAAAAATTGGCCATCGCACGGCGCATTCGACGCAAAAGCAGCTGGGCTCCAGTTAGCGTAGCCGGAAAGGTATCCAAATCCTAAGTCTTTGTACTGCTGACCGGCTCCCCTCAGACCCCTTCAACCCAAGGCCCAGCCAAACGTAGTGGCACGACCACGATCGCACCTTGACCAACAGTCAGAAGACCTGTGAAAGCTTGAGATATCTTGAGATTGAGACGATGAAGTCTCAGTGGAGTGTCCAGAGTGATGCTTCTAAGGACACATCAGAGTTCAGCTTCGCTTCGCCCACATTTTCGCTGGGGACTGAGACCCTCGAGCTGCTCAATGATGCACGAGACTTGTGAGATTTTGTGCCAGATGGTTGGGGAAAACACTATTCCCCAACTGTTTAGATTTTGTGCATCTAGCTTTGAAGACGCTGCCAGGTCAAAGGCTCACTTCACCCGCTCGTTTTCAGGTTTCGGAGACGCCTCGGTGGGGTCACCGCCTTGGGAAGTGTTTTGATGATTCCTCAAAATCTGTGACTGACAATCGCAGTGAAACCTGAAGATCCCTAAGTAAGCGGTGCACATCTTTGCTCCTATGCACATGACACAGCCAACCCATGTGAGTTACTGTCAATATTAGCCTTACCAAGGGGCCATTACGGGTGGACATAGGGGTCTCTCTTGTAGTGTAGTATCGTCCCTAAACTAGTCCCTACTAAGGAATCCACGTCCATTAAATTCTGTAGGAAATATTGATTGTAGCTCATGTGACTTTCGGATTTCGCCAGAGTTTTGATGGTGATTTCAGAGTCGTTTGCTTGCGTTTCAGAGAGACAGCAGGACAAGCGACCTTTATGTTTGGGCTTTTTGTGTTTTTTGCAATTTCCTTTGCGTCCCTGCTTGTGGCGTGTATGCTTGGCAAATCCTGCTTTCTTGCTGCTTTCTTCCTGCTTCCTTCAAGCGGATGGGGAGGGCATGGAAGGGACTGTAAGAGAACCTTGGGACTGTTTCACTTGTGGGCCGAGAGCAAGGCCTTCAATCCGCTTCCTCCTGTCGCTGACACACCAGACCGGCAAGAGAGGTCCTGGGCTTGATCCATTCAACAGCTGCGACCCGCATGGCTAAAATAGCAATGCGCTGCATCAAGGTAGTGGGAGCGCGGGATCTTGCTTGAACACCTCTATTGGCTCATCCGGCTGGGGCTCAGAGGCCGCTGACGAAGGTGATGCAGATTCGGATTCAGGGTTCTGTAGCATACGCATGCCTTGCCGTGGCAGGGCGAAAGGACACTTCCGCCCATGCGATGTCAGACCTCACCAGAAGCTTGTCTTAAGCAAATGGACTCCGGGAGGACGGTCTTCGTGTCGCTGTAAGCGGAAAATCTCCTGCAAGCATGCAGCAGAGCAAGCATGGATCCGAGGCACTGAAGGGTGATGCGGCTCTCTGATATTCATGCTCAGACTTCTGTGAGTGACCCCCAAGATAGACTAACAAGAAATATTTCCAGAAAGACAGCTGATCAGCTACGCCTCAGCGGCAGCTTTGCCTAAAGTTAGTTGAAGAGACGGTCCATGGGCCTGCTGACTTGACTGAGCTCATGCTATCTCAGGGCTTCCTAAGGATGACTTGCGAAGCAAGTGATTAATTCGAGTTTTGCATAGGTTTGTGCTTGTGGCATCCAGATGTCATGTCGTGAAGTAGTGGGGTTTTCGGGTTGTCAACAAGGATGCATCCATAAGCCAAGAGCCAGGCAACCGTCAGATCTTGAAAGCTGGCGGGTTTTGACAAGCTTGATGCCCCTGCGAAGCAGGGAGTTTTCAGGTTGTTTGTCTTCATTGGTAGATGCTATGCATGCGCACTTGTCCGACAGCATAGCCAAACGCCGGAGACATCAAGTCGGCACACCATGTGCCGTCTCTCAGCATCATCACCCATCATGCCCACGGAATTCGTGCGGTAGAGGCACGCTGCTTCACTTGAATCCTCCTGTTGAACTGCAGCGGAGAGAGAACTCGAGACACTCTCTGAGTGCCAAGCCATGGTATCTCGTCAATACATTCGATCCTTGACTCCGCAGTGCAGCTTCCAACCGCGACAGACTCTGATGGACTGGGCCGTGGTGGTGCCTTTTCGTAGGTGAGAAAGAGTTGCAAACTAGCGACTCAGAAATTAGCGTGCAGAGAGGCCGCACAGGTTTCTGCAGTCATGAGAGGAAAAGTAGGCGCGGGCATGGACATTCATGCAGGCCTAGTAAACTGAAGGTGGCATTGGGAAAAAGATCCAAGTTCGTTGAAACCAGCGTACAACACTTGGAGTGAGTGGTGGAGGGAGATCCAAATCTGGATGCCCGCAAGGCGAAGATGTGGACGAGGCCCTGCAGATCCACCAGGAAGACTCCTGGGCCTTCCTCTCAGAATGAGATGAAGTCTGACTTGGAGTTTTTTTAGCTTGTTGAAGAGGCAGCAATTGGAGTTGCAGCCTGCGCAGTTGAGAGGTCATCATTGACAGCTTCTTCCAGGAGAAAGGGCTGGTGTTCCAGCAGTTGGGGTGAGCACCTTACAAGTGAGACTGCGCTTCCTGCTAGCCACCACAGAGTGTGCGTACCAAACAGGGCCCGAGAGACAGCTGGTTGCCCTTTCAGAGGCTGACGCACTGCTTGACATGCAAAGGTCATTTGATCAGTTTATCGTCTATGAGATGCAGCGAGTGGTTGACGCCGCTGCCCTGAGATCAACTGACATCGGGCGTGCTGCGCATCTGTGTGTTGCCGTACAGCCATACCTGGCAAGCCTTTAACTGACGAAGTTGGAGCTTGGGAGCTGAAAACTTGTCTTTCTGGCGGATTTTGCCTAATGACCCAGTGCAAAGCCTGGTTTGTGTTCTGCATGAACATGAAGAAGCAGTAAATTCACGAGTAACAAATAACAAATCTTTAGCTTATCTGCAACAACGCCTAGGTAGAAGATGGCCCACATTGTAAAATCTGGCTTTGCTTAGCACAAACCCTGCCTTTCACATAGTTTTCCTCAACAATCGTGTTCCTCAACATACTCGTGCCCGCGACAGCATCCCCAAAAAGGACCTCCCCAATTGCCCACATTACTCATTCATCATCTCTATATTGATGATATGAGCTATGGTCTAAACTCCTAGCATCCCCAGGAATAACGGCTATATTCGTCCCCCATATAACCCTTTTAAGGAGTTTAGACTGTAGTTCATATTTGATATGGTAGTTTCCCAAAATTAGGGGACCCAATATAGACCCCAATATAGGGACCCCCAAGAAAGGTACCCCTCACTTTGGGAAACCCCTTAATCCTACTCCCTATAAACCCTACACATCCCTATATACCCCTATATAACTATAACCCTTGTAGATCCCTTTTAAACCCCTAATTTTGGGAAACACCCATATGTCCCCGGAGACCGTGGCAAGGCTCAAACTCCGATCGAGTGTTCCCCGCAGGACCAGTACAATCCTGAGGAGAAAGTTGACCCTGTGACGGCAAAGTTGAGAAAGGGCTATATTGGGGCTATATTAGGGTTATTTTGGGGGTATACTAGGGTTCTATTGGGGTTACATTGGGGGTATATTAGGGTTATATTGGGGGTATATTAGGGTTATATTGGGGTTATATTGGGGTGGTCACCATTGTTGCAAGGAACTGTACGCCTTAGGTGCAGTTCAGGTGATGAGCCAATGAGTGGTGTACTTGGTGACAAAGAGTTCAGGCATTTCGCCTGGGCTTAATGTGAAGTTCCCAATCATAAAGCAAGTACGCAGGAAGCGTTGAGTCTGCGCCGGTGATTTTTTCACATAAGCCCAACTCGAAAATTGGTATCTCTCAGTTGGGGCCGAGATATTTGAAGTGCATAATCTGTCACATGGGGAGCGCGCTTGGTGTGACTTAGGCAGACTAGGTTTCAACAAGAAGGATCAGCAAGGAGTCAAAGGCTTCTCCAGTTGCTTTTTTAGGGGGCTTCTTTCTGACTCGTATCCTCGTGTTGGAGCCAAGGACAGCAAGAAAGTCTCATTCTTAATTGCTGGCAGCAAGCAACTCCAAACAGCCAGTGGGGTAGCCAGCTCAACCTGCAGGTTTATGTGTGGAAGTTTGGGCAGCTTCACTTCAACAAGCCCGGCTCTTGGCGCTGAAGATGAAATGCAATCCTGTCACATTAACTAGTTCCCCAGAACAGTGTAAGAACCTCCGCAGCTGTCATGCTGCAGGCCAACTGTGGATGAGACGGATGGCACCGCCCGAATCCTCACTCCACGTGAGGCCAACTAGACGAAGGGTGGTTGGTAGCGGTAGCTTTGTCTCTCTGTCCTCATCTTGGCGACTGTCCTCTCCAGGCGCGCTTGCGGAATCTCTCCTATGCAGCGCCCGTGTTCGTGGACATAGAACGAAAGGTGTACCAAGTCAACGAGGCCTCAAGTCAGGCGCAGAGCATTTGCCCAACACCAGAAGTCCTCGGAGGACGGTGAGAGGACGTTGACCCAAGAGGACAACTACTCCAAGGTCTTCCTGATGCGGATGCCCATCATGGTGAGGCCGCAAGTGAGGGTATGAGGTGTGCCTTTTGCCATGACGCTGCAACCCCTAAATTTAAGCGGCTGTGGTGCTGGCAGGACGGAGTATTGCTGGCTAAAAAACGCCAACGACCGTCCCTTGCAAGCAAATTCTGTGCTCGTAAAAGCCATGCCTCTTGAAATATGCAGGGCCAGCAGAAGTCGTGAGATTTGAGGTGTTCTCACAGAGTTCGGTGAGTGCCAGACACCGAGCATTGATTCTGCACACCGCGCAGAAGACTGCATGAAAGCAGCAACTCTGAGAGCGCTGTCATGCCTGTTGCGCTTTGCAAGAGGCCCGCTCGACCAGGGTGGATACTTCATCATAAATGGTCCGCAAGCTCAGAAGATCCCCTTCTGCACAGGGAGGGAACAGTTCATGACATCTCACTCTGCGATGCTAGGCTCCGAGAAGGTGTTGATCGCCTTGGAGCGCATGGCAAATAATTTTGCCGCAGCCTCGGCCAACAAGCTGTCGGCAGCCTCTGAGCAGCTAAACCTCCTTTGCTCTGTTGAAGATGGGTGCTCCACCGAACAAGCAGACATGCAGTTGCAGAGCCAGCAACTACCCGTTGAACTGACCCTGAGGTATATGCCTTTGCCAAGAAACAGCCTTCAAAGTATGCCTGGTCCATAGCTGCAATTTGCAGTGAAAAGACTTCTTGCTTCCATCGGGAGAGAGAGGCACAGAGTGTTTCATTAGTTGAGGCCTGGGTGTGCGAAATCCGCTCTGCCCTTTTTGAGGGCTCGGTGCTGTGCCCAGCTCTGGCAGAAGAAGCTTTGCGCCAATGCATGATGTTGAACCTCCAAGTCCTAGTCCTAGGCTGGCAACTCGGGCTTTGCAGTGAAGCTTCTGACCAATATGGGCACTTCCGCCCAGTTTGTATTATTACTATTATTATTGTTGTTATTATTATTACTATTACTATTATTATTATTCCTATTATTATTATTAGGATTAATGGGTATTAGAAAAAGACAGTGGCCATGAAAGGGCTGACAGCAGTTCATCCTTGGGAGTCTGCATGGCAGGCTCGAAGTCCTACTGCCGGGGCCAGTTAGTGTGCACTTGTCCGGTGCTTGGAGGGTTGACAGTATCAACGGAGCTGCCAGGAAGTACTGCCAAGGTCCATACATCCGGACGGAGATTCCACTGGTGATTATGTTCCGCGCTTTGGGAATTGTTGCAGACAGAGACATTCTTGAACGCATTGTGTGGCGCTGGCGAGTTTGGAGGGCTTAATGACCTCAGAACTTCCCTAGAGCTACCTGAATCTTGGTGCTAGTAGATGGGTTTATGCCTCCTTCAGAAAGGAATCCGAAGCCAGGTTCGACATGAGCGACTTTGCAATGCTCAATGCATGCAGACTATCCATTGAGGAGCCGTCTGTGTTGATCTTCTAACGGCTCCCCCGGCCTAAGCCGTAAACCCCAAACCCAACCTAAGCCCTAAATCCAAACCCTCAACCCTAGAATGTTCTCCCGCAACTATACGAAGACCCCAAAGCAAATTTGATGCGTTGAGATTGGAGGGTGTGGCCCTGTTACCTTGAAGCTGCCTCACGAAGGATGCCGCTCCGATATCTACGCAGGAAATGGCCCACATCTCAGCTGACAGATCAATCGCTTCAATCTTGAGACGCAACATGATGAAACCAGCTCTGCCGTTTACATCAGTGTATATGTATATATGTACAACATGTGCACCACGAGTTTTGGCTATATTGAAATGTTTGCATTGAAATGAGTGGTTTCTATTAGCAGGAAGGTGTCTGGCGTCGGGTGGCAATCTCATTAGCCATGCAAAACCATGCGCCAAGAGGCATTGGATTACATCGCCAAGCGGGGCGCTTGTTCTTTCCGGAAGTAGGCGCAGAAGAATCTTGACTTGCAATTGCTCGCTGTCGACGCAGGCGAGGACCCACAATGGGCGCCACCCGGGATATGCGAATCCAGCTTTGCCCTCAGCAAGCCCGCTAGCAAAAGAAATTTCAGCAAGGCCATCTACAGCGACAAAGCGGACACTTCCTTTTGGTTCGTTTAGCTCAACTTGGGGCGATGGCCCAGGTATGCCCGCGAGCTGCTCCAAAAGGAGCTGTTGCCGCACATTGGCAGGCACGGCATTTGAGTCAGCAGTCCACAGTAGTGCGTGGCCCACCTCAGCGACGGGGTGAGGACCCAGGCTTTGATGGGAAGCAGGTAGCCTTTCTTGACTGTTCTGGAGCCACCCCGGCATGGCTATTACCCAGAAAGGTGTAGAATCAAGGCGTCTAGGAATGCCGAAGGGGCATGCGTAGATCTACTCTGACCCTCGAGTCCTTGGACCAAGATGCCCCCAGGCTTTCCGGCCTCAGCGGATTCGATTGCCCGAGTTTCCAGCTAAGTCTTAGAACTGCAGGACTCGCAACATTGAGGGGCGCAAAGCCTACTTCATTGGCTACATGACCAACCGGCTTTTGCTGGGTGGGGCTCTTGAACTGTTTGGCGAGAGTAGCTACAAGTAGCTACGAGTCAAACCATACATGCACATGTATAAACATTTGCAAGAGCGTGAAAGCATGGGGGTGTGGCAAGGTTTCCTCGGCCGCAATCCTGAGGATGATCGAGATCACTTTGGGAAGAAGCGGTGCCTGGTCAGAGACAGATCATGATTCCTAAGTCTGTGACGCGTGTTGTCGAACGTCAACTGGTTCTTGGCTTCTCGCCAGAATCTGAAACGTCAACATGACCCGACCCCAGCAACTGAGGATTGACTTGGCGGGTGCGCTCGTATGGGCCTCAGCAAGAGCTGCGGATACAGCCACCCAAGCATGCCAAAACTATGCAGTCTAAGGAAAGTCGTACCCTTTACATGTGGTGCCTGCTGAAACCAGTTTCATGATCCTGCGTGCTTTGCAGGTGTCTGCCTCCTTCACAGGTCTTTGGCGAAAAAGCGTCAAGGCCACCAGGTTGAGTGTTGAGTCCCTTGCCAACATTTCGTGGCATCAGGATCTGAGGAAGCTGCTGCAACGACAGCTTGACAAGGGTAAGATCCCAGATATCGTGGAATGCGTGAAGCAGGCATCTTCTTCACTGGAATTCCAGAAAGCCTCCAGGCCTTTATGCCTGCGTTGCCTGCGCCAGGCGTCCTGCCTCAGCCAGGGAATGAAGTACCAGTTCGCGACTGGCAACTGGGGGCAGGATGGCATGTTACCGAAACAAGACTCTGCGGCAATTCCTTCGATAGCACGCTCGCAGCAAGGACAAGCAAGGGAAGCCCGCCGGAGCCTTGAAAGCTTCTCTTGGTCCTGTCACGGACTGCTTGAGTGGCCGTGGCAGTTGCGTGCGAGGTGCGAACGGGTATTTCTCAGGGATTGAATCGCCTGACATTCATGGCAACGCTCTCCCACCTCAGGCCAGGGGAAGGTAGGGATTCAAACGGGTTCTACAGTTGAAGGACTCAAGGTGAAGAGTCCCACTGGCAATGTGTCACGAGGAAGCATGCGCAATCACAATCAGACATGTTGCCATCCTTTGCCAAGCATCACCTGCTTCTAGACGATTCCAGGCGAATGATCACGCCTCTGGCGCGTTCAGGAAAGCTGGTGAAGCCCAGGCACTTCTGCTTCTGCAGACCGAAGCTACAGGCTTGACCCCGGCCATGTCTGCGAGGCAACTTCACAACACGCACTGGGGACTGGTGTGTCCTGCAGAAACTCCGGAGGGGCAGGTGAAAGCTTCCATCTGGATTGGAGAAGTGGCTCCTTCTGCTTGCTGGACACGCCAGGCAGTTGGCTTGGTGAAGAACATCTCGCTGATGCCTGGCGCTTAAATGTCAGATGTAGAGTTGAATCGGCTCCTATCAACATGCGGGAATTGACATGTCCAAGCCAGAATGGAAGCGCCGTAAAGTGGGTGGCTCCTTGTATCAGCGCCGAACTCGTCAGAGATTCTCGTGAGGTGCTGGATTACGCTCGGTTCTGCCAGTTCCTGAGCTTCCCCAAAACCAAGGATGCTAAGTCAGAAAAGCTGGCTTGCTGGCTTGAGTTGTCTCTTGCTTTCTGGCTACGGACAGCGCTGCAGGCGCAGACCATCATCGAAGATTTCCTCGACGAGTGGGGAGTGACTTGTCAAGCAACATGCGAAGACGAGAGCCATCGTTGTTGCAAAATTTGGAGCTTCTTCTTGTGTTTCATGTCCCTGTGCCTTTGAAGGTCCTGGACTTGATGGAATGCACACCTGACCACATCAAGACCTACTCCAAGGCCGTCTACAGAAAGTGCATTGTCAAGCTGCAGAGCGCTGCTACGTTGCTGACTTTTAGAGACGTGTTCCCTAGCTTGTTCACAAACACACCATCTCAGCAGTGTAGTGGACCAAGCGTATGTTGACATGCAAGCCTGCCTTTCTGTAGCCTCATGCTTTGCGCAACATACCCAAGTTTACAGTTTACAATTACAAGAGCAAGCATCGTGTCAACACAGAGTCAGCCTACCCTGCATCTGAGAGCCAAAGGGTAGTTCGTCCCATCAGAATGCCATGCAATCGGGAGCAGGGCGTCAACTGCGTCGTACTTCTTGAGGCGCCTGGTACATGATATGTTCCCAAGACGCAAGGGAAGCCACTGAAGTAGCCAACCAGTTTGGCAGACAGACTTATGCAAGCCATGAGGGAACCACGTTCAGCTTTGCAGGTGCAAGCAGGTAACAAGTCATTTAGGGTCAACGCCCTGCATTGCGTCAGATATTTCCGCTGTGCTTCGCTGGGGCGCTGCTTCTTGCAGCGTGGCTACTTTCATGCTGGATGTGCTTGCACGAGCAGCGTGTCTCTCGCTGGCTTCGTCATATAAAGGCACAAGCAAACTGGGCAGAAACTTGCTTGTTGCCATCTGCAAGAATGCGCATGCACGCTTGCCATCCGCCGCAGGCCCTGACCAGACACCGGCAGTTGCCAGTTCCAGAGAGACTTTTCATGGCAAAGCAGTTGGAGGTGGACAGCTTGACTCTCTGCTGCTAGGCTGAGGCATGCCATTCAGACTGTTTGCATACGCGCCTGAATCATGGCAGAAAGGAACCGTGAGACCTGTTTGATTAAGCAAAGCATTTCGTGCCGCATGGGACTTTGTCTGACTTACACCGGTAAGGCTGCGTGTGCCTCACGGATTTTGAGCCAGATGACGTTGTGAGACAGCTGCCATGCTCCCACATCTTCCACCGGCACTGTATCGGCATTTGGCTTCGCCAGAATTTGGCATGTCCAATGTGTCGGAATACCACCAGAGCCCAGTAGCCAGAGGTCATGCGCTCAAAGAACAGCAAGCTATGGCAAGTGCCCCAGGCACGTTCCAAGTGGTGCTCCCCTCCCGCAGGGGAGGATCCACTTCATCTTTTTCAAAAGTAAGACCAGGATGCTTGATAACCCAGGATTTTATGGCAAGATCTAGCGGTGATTTGCGTAGAGTAGTTTGGCCAATCAAGCTTCCTGGCCCAGGTTCTCAGCTTAGCACATGGCAGTTCCCATTACTGAAGTACGAAGATGGGGACAACAGGGAAGGCGCCAGTTTGGGTGCAGTTGCCAACTTCATGCTTGGGAAATGCCTCACCGCGATTTCAAGCGCATCCCGCTGTCAAAGTCACGGCCTGGTGCATTGTGTGCTGGGTGAGATTGTCAGCCTACCGTTCCAAGCCACGCGGTACATCTCACATGCCAAAGTCGTCAGCAGGTCATAATGGGTCATCAGGACTATCCAAAGGATGCCCGGGAAAAAACAATGCGACGAGATTTAGAGCAGTCTATGTATAGGGCTGAACCACTCCAAGTTGATGGCTTTTCCTGTGAAATGCGACCGACATTCTGCGGGTCATTCCCTGTGAGAAAAGCCAGGTGAGCTGATGTGCTTCAGATGTCATGTCGCCACAAGCTGCTCAGTTGCTGACAGTGATCTTGTGGCATTCTTGGCCTCAGGTGTTCCTGAATGGAATTTGGTTGCTTGACGGCGCTTCGAACATCACAGCAAGCTCTTTCTTTTCAGCACACACCGTGCTTTGAATGCTCTGCGAAGTGCCAAGGGTGGGCATGCACAAGAACCCGGCAGAGTTAAGGACCCAAGAAATTTCCAGTTGTTCTAGGTTCATTGGAGGTTCCTTAGTATATTGGGGTCATATTATATTGGAAACTTCTATAGTGTATAGGGACTTGGGCCTGGGGTTATATAGGGATTGGACAGCTACCAGCTTGACAGCTTTGTTGCTTGGCAGGAACACGCTGCAAAGCTTGCGGCGGCGAAAAGACATTGATTCAGAGGCTCCCCAACTTGAATGCAGATTCTTTTCTGTGGATTGTGCATCGTGGACTCTTCCAGGTGTCCATCCAGCAGGACCTGAAGAACAATGAAATTCGCATTTCCTCAGATTGCGGAAGGTGTGCTGGCTGCGCATCTGCACTGTCAAGTAGGGCAGGCAGTGCGTGCTCTGTTTCAGGTGTTCCCGTCCTCTGTATATTGTGGACTACGAAGAGCAAAAGGTGTTGATTAACAACGCCCACGTTTCGTGCTCAAAGTGAAGCATTTGCGGTGATCTGTCTTCTCCTGTGGTTCGGAAGTTCTTGATCTCGCATGCGGCCAAGGTAGACAAGGTCAAAAAGGGAGAGTGGGAATGGGGTACGCTTATGCGCGGCGGCCCTAGCGCTGGAGCTGAGTCCCTGCAGAAATACCGCGGTTGGGGCCGGGCCAGCTCTTGAATTTGGAGTGATGCGTGTGAAGATGCAGCTGAGCTGACCGAAACTTCAGATGAGTTCATGACAAGTAGTGAGAACAAGTTAGCAAGACATATAAGACTTTGACATTATAAGACATGAGCACACTTGCATTTGGTTGAGAAGTCGAGGTGAAGGACTGATTGAGTACCTTGATGCAGAAGAGGAGGAGTGCTCCATGATTGCGATGTTCATCCACGACCTAGCTGGGATCTCAGCCGTTGGCTAAAGAAGAGTAGAGGCTGTAAGAATAAAATGTGGGGATATATAGGGGAATATAGGGATAATGGAAAAGAAAATGGAAGCTAATTTACTCCATTTAGTGGTTTCATAAGAGTAGAAGAGGTAGCCGACACAACTCAGGTCAAGACCAAGGCCTACTGCAAGTCCTCCTGGCATGAGCAGGGCAATCCTGTCGCGAAGCAATGGAAGCTTGTGCGCGCGCCAGGACCTACACCCATGCAGAGATCCATCCGGCCATGATCTTCGGCATTTGTGCCAGGTGCCAAGGAGAGACGGTTTCACCACCATCTTATGATCTTATGGTGAGTTGCGAAGCACATGCTCAGACCGTCCAGCCGCAAAGAGTGGTAGAACAAAGATAGCGGGACATGACCTTCACTTGCCATCATTTTCGATTTCCGGAAAAGCCACATATTAGACAGGCATGTTGAGTTGAGTGCTTGCAAGCCAGAATCAAATTTGGACAGCGAGGGCGGCAGGTTCGTCATGCATTCTCACTCATTAGCAGCCCGTTTGCAAGACCCAGGCATCGATCATCCCGTTTCCGGACCACAACATGAGTCCAAGGCCTACAGACAACACCAAGAAGAGACCCTGTGCACTGTTGGTCGAGAGGTGAATATTTTTATCAATACTAGTATTCGTATTCGTGTTAATAATAATATTGATACTAGCAAGCCTGACGCGAAGTGGCAGGAATGTCTTCCAATCTGCGATGGGCAAGCAAGCCATTGGTGTGTTTGGCACAAACTTCTATGCACGAATGGACACGCCCAGCCCTCAAAAGTCACAAAGCTCAGCCCAGCACCAGCTATCCTTGGAGCCGCTGAGGTTTGCATGCGTCATGTGCTATCCTATGAAGCCGTTTGCCGAGACCTTAAATGCCGCTGCTGGCTACTAATTATTTGCAGTGCCTTGGTGATTGCCCGGCTGGCGCCCTGCATGATCAAAAGGTGGGAACTAGATCCCATTTTCTTTTCCATTTGATTCTCCATTATTGGGTCCTAAACCCTATATTATTACCCCCCCAAAAAGGTGGGAACTCGATCCATGAACTACTTGCGCTTCCGGGAGATGCCGGCCGGTGTATCGAGCTTACCAGTGATCCTTGCTTTGCCACAGCGGTGGCCCCATTGAGGATTCCTAAGATACCTACAATAGCATATTGGGGTTATATAGGGTTATA